TGGTGGAAAAATTCGGTCAAAACCTCTCAAAAACTGCAAATTGGGAGGTACCCTTACATGGGGGCTACCAGAAAAAGTGGGCCTGTATTTATAATTTTTTGTGGGGACATTTGACACCCAATAAGAACATAATGTACCAAATTTCAGCGAATTCGGTTGAAAATCGCGCTCAAGATTAAAATACCGAAAATTGGGGGATACCCTTATATGGGGGCTACCCGAAAAAATTGACCTATATTTATAATTTTTAGTATAGAGATTTCCTACCCAATAATAACTCAAAGTACCGAATTTCAGCGAATTCGGTCGAAAAATGCGATCAACCGCCCCCCCCCCCCCCCCCCCAAATAAAATACCGCAAAATTAGGGGTACCCTTATATGGGGGCTATCCCAAAATATGAACTTTTATTTATAATTTTTTGTGTTGACATTTAGTACCCAATACGAACCCAATGTAGCAAATTTCAGCGAATTTGGTTGAAAAACGCGCTCAAGAACCCCAAAATACCGACAATTTTGGGGTACCCTTATATGGGAGCTATGCCTATGACCTGCCTGCAGACAAAAGACGACTCTGTGCAAAATTTTGGCGATCTATCTCAGCTCGTTTAGACGCTAGAGTGATTACAACAGACGGACATGCTTATATTGTCTTAAAATTTTACTCTGATCAAGAATATATATGGGCAATATTGCCAATTTTTTAACATAGCTGAAGCGGAGGTTCACCTCTTTATAACTCGGGAACTACTTAAGTATATGAAAAAAAGTGAATAGTTTTGTGTTAATTGATCTGTCGTTGCAAACTGTTCATGATATTGACCTCCAAACTATATTTTGGTGGAAACTGTGTCTTCTTTAATGTAAAAAAAAATGTGTAAAAACACGTTGAGGCGAACCAGTTTTTTTATGTTCTCTATCGATTTGTGACTAAGCCACTCATTGCACGGTCTTCGAGTCAAAATAAAACTAGAAGCCAACAAAATGGGGACTACGCCCCTTATGTATCATTTTTCAAAATTTTCACTGCATCTACCTTTAAATGATGCTGACATTTTGAAGCTCGATGTTGAGTGTTTTTTTTAATTTTACTTCTTGCTTTAATACGCAAACAGGAATTTATAAAAATCGATTATAAGATTATTGTAGTCGCGAATCTGCGTCATCTGATATGTATTTTGTGTATATAGTATGCACAGCTTCAGAGTAATGCTCATCCGAAGATGCGAATTTTGTGCGATCAAATTTCTAAAAAACCTGTTTTTCGGGCCAAATTTTTAGATCTGTCAACTGAATGATATGCTTACCCGCGATCAATAAGGTTTTTATACCCTTCACCACACTGTGGTACAGGGTATTATGTCTTTGTGCATATGTTTGTAACAGGCAAAAGGAAACGAGATAGACACATGGTTCCTTTTGAGAATATGCATAGAATCACTTTTTAAGTCGATTTATGCATGTCCGTCCGTCCGTCCGTCTGTCCGTCTGTCTGTCCATGTTAAATTGTAAACAAAGTACAGGTCGCATTTATGATCCGAATTGGATGAAATTTGGCATAGGTCACTTATTCGGCCTAAGGACGAACCCTATTGAAATTGGGAAAAATCGGTTCAGATTTAGATATAGCTCCCATATATATATTTAACCGATTTAATGTAAACGGTCCCTATATATCTTTCGATTTGCACGAAATTTGGTACAGCCTAATCATTTACGTCTAGAATGATGTCTGCCAAGTTTCATGAAAATCGGTCCAGATTGAGATATAGCTCCCATATATAGTTTCGTCCGATTTCATGTAAATGGTGCAGCAAAGTCCACATATATCTTTCGATTTGCACGAAATTTGGTACAGCCTAATCATTTAGGTCTAGAATGATGTCTGCCAAGTTTCATGAAAATCGGTCCAGATTTAGATATAGCTCCCATATATAGTTTCGTCCGATTTCATGTAAATGGTGCACCAAAGTCCACATATATCTTTCGATTTGCACGAAATTTAGTACAGCCTAATCATTTAGGTCTAGAATGATGTCTGCCAAGTTTCGTGAAAATCGGTCCAGATATAGATATAGCTCCCATATATAGTTTCGTCCGATTTCATGTAAATGGTGCATCAAAAGTCCCTATATATCTTTCGATTTGCACCAATTTTGGCATAACGTACTGAATTGAGCCTAGAATTATGTCTGCCAAGTTTCGTGAAAATCGGTTCAGATTTAGATATAGCTCCCATATATAGTTTCGTCCGATTTCATGTAAATGGTGCACCAAAGTCCCTATATATCTTTCGATTTGCACGAAATTTGGCATAACGTACTGAATTGAGTCTAGAGTGATGTCTGCCAAGTTTTAAGAAAATCGGTTCAGATTTAGATATACCTCACATATATAGTTTCGTCCGATTTCATGTAAATGGTGCGCCAAAGTCCCTATATATCTTTCGATTTGCACGAAAATTGGCATAACGTACTGAATTGTTCCTAGAGTAATGTCTGCCGAGTTTTGAGAAAATCGGTTCAGATTTATATATACCTGCCATCAGGGACGTACACAGGGGGAAGCCCTGGGGGCCCGGTTCAGATTTAGATATAGCTCCCATATATAGTTTCGTCCGATTTCATGTAAATGGTGCACCAAAGTCCCTATATATCCTTCGATTTGCACGAAATTTGGCATAACGTACTGAATTGAGCCTAGAGTGATGTCTGCCAAGATTCGAGAAAATCGGTCTATATAGCTCCCATATATATTTCATGTTAATAGTTCTGTTTAATATACCCATAGTGGTGAAGGGTATCATATAGTCGGCCCCGTCCGACTTTACTACTTTCCTTACTGGTTTACGTTTCGGATGATATAAAACCTTCTTAGTGAAAATCCATCTACTAGAACGGCGGGAACTGGCCTTCCAAAAACACGAAATTTGACAAAAAATGATTTTGAAAATATCGCGGATTTATTTGCGTTTTCTGTGTATCATTTCCTCTTCAATAAATGACCTCATACGGATTTTGATCTTTTTCGAAAAGAGAACTTTAACAACTTCAGCCGAAAGAGAGATGTACGCAATTTATCTCAAAAATAGATTTTGCTGGCACATCCATGGTTCTTAATGGACCACATTGAAATGATATAGATCGATGTATTTTTTTAGGGTGCACACCGAAATCGGATGCGCGTTAATGGCATATGGAGTTTTCGGAAGTTATTCGCGTTTTACGATTTTTTGGGTACTTCAATGTAACGTGCGGCACATCTTAGCCGTCAAATGAAATTTCGCAAAACATGCATAGATTGGAAGATAAACGTCAGTACTTCCTGGAAACCTCATGCGCATCAAATGATTTTGAGAATTACACGATTTAGACGCAATTTATCTCAAAAATAGTGTGAGCTGGCACATCCATGGTTCTTAATGGACCACATTGAAATCGGTATAGATCGATGTATTTTTTTACGGTGCACACCGAAATCGGATGCGCGTTAATGGCATATGGAGTTTTCGGAAATTATTCGCGTTTTACGATTTTTTGGGTACTTCAATGTAACGTGCGGCACATCTTAGCCGTCAAATGAAATTTCGCAAAACATGCATAGATTGGAAGATAAACGTCAGTACTTCCTGGAAACCTCATGCGCATCAAATGATTTTGAGAATTACGCGATTTATACGCAATTTAAAATGTATATTTCATAATATTATTTTATTTTAAGATTTATTCCTATTTATAGAAACCAAAGATTTATCGGAAGGGTCTTGCTACAATCCACAAGGTGTATACTTATACACCAAATGTGATTATTTTTAAATATGTCAATTTGTCGGCGAAATTCGGGTAAAATAGCAGAATAACCCCAACATTTTTTTCTGAAATTTCTTGTATAAAATTAAAAAAATATGATGACATTATTTTTTCGAACCAAAAACAAATATTTTTCCTCAATATCTTGATTTGTTTTCGCTCTGATTTACAAACCGCTACACGGACTTGTGTGATTTTGATATCATTTGATTCATCATGGTGTTTAGAATATGTAGATATTTTTAAATTAATTTTTAGGTGTGTGTGTATGTCATTAACATAATGAAAATATTGACGTAATCTCCTATATTTTTATTATTTTTCTCATATTTCGCGAAGATGTGCAACTTTTTCGTGATTATTATTATATATTCATATTCTTATTTTACGGAGGAAGATGTAATTCAACGTTTTTGGTCAATATAATAAACGGCGTAATTTTAAGATTTTTTTCTTATGCCCAACATTAAAACCTCGATAACTTTTGCGCGCATCAACCAAAAATTTGATCGCGAACGGTTTCGGAGTCAGAACATTTTCTCTATATGTGTACCAAAAATCATTGATGTGCCACAAAAACAAAAAAACTGATTTTTTGAAAATGGAATATTAAAAAATTGGCAATATTGCCCATATACTTTATAGGGTCGGAAATGAATATTTCGATGAGTTACAAACGGAATGACAAAATTAATATACCCTCCATACTTTGGTGGAGGGTATAAAAACCACGCCTATATTTGGAGTAATCCTCTCAAAATCTGTTTAAAATATCCGCGTCTGTAGTTCGAATATACCTCTCGTCTATAATTCGAATATACCTTCGAATATAGCTTGAATTTTCCTCTCAAAAATGTGTGTTTAAAAATCCACGCCTATAGCTTGAATATTCCTCTGAAAATTCTGTTTAAAAGATCCAAAATATATTTTAAAAATCCACGTCTATAGCTGAAAATCTACGCCTATAATTAAAATATTGCACTCAATAATCTTTTTAAAAAATCCACGCCTATAAAAATCCAAAAATCAAAAATCCGCACCTATAGTTTGATCAAAATCTATTTAAAAATCCACGCTTATAACTGTAATATTCCTCTAAAAATATTAAAAAATATTATTTCAACATTTTATAAATGTCCAGTATATATTTTTGCATATAGAACTTTTATGTTAATTATTAATTGTTTGTATTAATCATTCTTTTTATTCACCCAATTTGTGTGATAAAATACTTCCATAAGAAATACCACGACAGCTACAACATCACCCAAAATCACCGCATAAAATACTGTACTCAATTCCGACATATCGAATAATTCATCTTCGCGGTGATATTTCTTGTTTATATAACCCGTATCCAATTGGGCTTTTTTCCAATATTCAATTAAGCCGAAATCAGTCGTCCATATTAGAAAATCGTTTAATTGATTACTCAAATACGAATGTTTGGCCATATAGATACAGGTCTTAAATCCAATTATATCATACGGAATTATTTGAAATACCTCCCTCTTGCGCATGACACGAATATTATATTGCAAATAATCTATTACCGATACTCCGACAGTATGTTTGGCATGTTCCTTGGGCAATGTTAATAAATATTCCAGAGTATAACTTTCGGGCGTATTCGGTAAGATGGTGTAGTTAAGACCTTGCAGTTCCGAGGTGTGTTTTATTATGTTATTTATAGCCTGACTAACGGCAATGTGGAAATTATGATTTATTAAATCATTAAAATCGACTGGTGGTTTAATCTGCAGATGCGACCGAATCATGTGAAAGAGATAACCCAAATAGATGCTACGAAGAATCAGGGTAAAGAACATCCACGCCATGGCAAAGACACGCATCTCCTTATATGGTGGCATATAGACAAAAGGAATTCCCAATAGACTGACGAAGACATCGGTGACTGGTTGGACCGCCGGTGTATGGCGTAAATAACGAAGGGTGTAGACACCCAAGACGACCACCGCACTAGTGAGTAATAACACCAGCCATGTGCTCGTTTGAAAGGGGTGTATTAGGACCTCTGATTTACTTATGCGTAATGCACTTCTCAACATCACCACCGATATAATTGATTGATAGTAATTGACACTTGATGTGGCCACCCTATTTCGTTCAGCATTGTGATGATATGAACCCACACTTAAATCCAATTTGCGATCGTTTAACTGAAAGCAAAAGAGGAACGGATATTTAAAAATATATATCTAAAAAATCCACGCCTCAGATATACTTCTAAAAATCTGTTTAAAAAATCAAGGCCTCTCAAAAATCTGCACTCACCATCTTTAAAACTCCCGTGGTGGATCCATTCGGGAATATCTTACCCCGACCACTCTCATCAAATAATTGGATTTCAATTTTGAAATTAAATCGCTTACTCAAAACTTTCAATAGACGCCCCTCAAAGCCACCATCCAATTGGAGCGTTCCCTCCGCATCGGTTGTTACCGATAAAAATGGTGGTATATTCCAAACGGCCACTCGAAGAGGGCAGCCATAAAAATTTTTCAATTTATTTGGAAACAATGTAATCGTTCTCGACATTGATGTACCATTAAAAGTATTTATGCGGACAATTTCAACTATGCCACAATTTTGCGGTGTAAAAGGGTAGTAGGTATACAATTCAATTTCGCCCTTATCCGTTTGTATTTGAATATTACAGTTAATTAAATGTTTCCGCCAACAATATTCGAATATTTTTTCCATATCCATACGCACCATTGAATCTGATCTCTTAAGAAAGATGTAATAGTATTCATTGTGGTCATTATCCCAGGTGTGGGCTGTTAGATCCGTTGCTCTGAAAATCAAAAATTTTAATTAGGGATATTACTTATAGGTGTGTGTGTGTCCCACTTACACAAAACTTTCATATGAATCAACCAGGACCATATTGAAATCGGTTATATCATCCAAACGGCGTCGTTCTCCCTTCTGCACATTGACAATTTGCAAAACATACTGTCCCCATCCGGTATATGCTTCATCCAGTATATCATTATAGAAAATCGAACTGGATTCTCGTTCCGTCGATATTATCAGAATAAAACTTTTTGCCCATCGCACGAAATAATGGCTGATAATGTGGAGTAAACAGGCCCCAAACAGGGTCTTCAATTTCATGTCACTGCCACCCAATTTATTCTGGTAGGCCTGATATAGAGCGGTAACGTTCATGGTTGAAATACAACTATTATCCACGGGGGCATGGGACATGGATTTTTATAAAGAAATTTTAGGCAATGAGTAATGTTACAGAGAGTGTTATTAAAAGTTATGCACGTGTTAGAAAGTTTTTATGTAACTTTGTATTTGTCTTTTGGAAACAAAGTTCGGAAGTGAGGTCATACAAGGGTAAAAAAGTACCTACAAATATTTCAAACATATCCTTGTAAGGAACAACATAACCAAAGGCGTGGATTTTTAAAAGAGATTTTTGAGAGAAACATTCCAACTATAGGCGTGGATTTTAAACAGATATTTGAGAGGAATACTCCACCTATAGGCGTGGATTTTTAAACAGATATTTGAGAGGAATACTTCACCTATAGGCGTGGATTTTTAAACAGATTTTTGAGAGGAATACTCCACCTATAGGCGTGGATTTTTAAACAGTTATTTGAGAGGAATACTCCACCTATATGCGTGGATTTTTAAACAGATATTTGAGAGGAATGCTTCACCTATAGGCGTGGATTTTTAAACAGATATTTGAGAGGAATACTCCACCCATAGGCGTGGATTTTTAAACCGATATTTGAGAGGAATACTCCACCTATAGGCGTGGATTTTTAAACCGATATTTGAGAGGAATACTCCACCTATAGGCGTGGATTTTTAAACAGATATTTGAGAGGAATACTCCACCTATAGGCGTGGATTTTTAAACAGATATTTGAGAGGAATACTCCACCCATAGGCGTGGATTTTTAAACCGATATTTGAGAGGAATACTCCACCCATAGGCGTGGATTTTTAAACAGATATTTGAGAGGAATACTCCACCCATAGGCGTGGATTTTTAAACAGATATTTGAGAGGAATACTCCACCTATAGGCGTACATTTTTAAACAGATATTTGAGAGAAATACACCACCTATTGGCGTGGATTTTTAAACAGATATTTGAGAGAAATACACCACCTATTGGCGTGGATTTTTAAACAGATATTTGAGAGGAATAATAAAAATTCACGCTTAAAAATACGTACATACAAATTACGTGAAAATTAACGTATGTTTTTAATGACCTCACTTCCAAACAATGTTTCCAAAAGACAAATACAAAGTTACATAAAAACTTTCTAACACGTGCATAACTTTTAATGACACTCTCTGTAACATTAATCATTGACGAAAATTTCTTTATAAAAATCCATGTCTCATGCCCCCGTAGCTAGTAGTTGTAGTTGAACCATGAACGTTACCGCTCTGTATCAGGCCTACCAGAATAAATTGGGTGGCAGTGAATTGGAATTGAAGACCCTGGTTGGGGCATGATTACTTCATGTTATGTGTAATTACTTCGTGAAATGGGTGAAAAGTTTTATTCTGATAATATCGACGGAACGTGAATCCAGTGCGATATTCTACAATGATATGCTGGATGAAGCATATGAAGGATTGGGTCAATATGTTTTGCAAATTGTCAATGTGCAGAAGGGAGAACGACGCCGGGTGGATGATATAACCGATTTCAATATGGTCCTGGTTGATTCATATGAAAGTTTTGTGTAAGTGGGACACACACACCTATAAATAATATCCCTAATTAAAATTTTCGATTATCAGAGCAACAGATCTAACAGCCCACACCTGGGATAATGATCACAATGAATGCTATTACATCTTCCTTAAGAGATCGGATTCGATGGTGCGCAGGGATATGCAAAAAATATTCGAATATTGTTGGCGGAATCATTTAATTAACTGTAATATTCAAATACAAACGGTTAAGGGCGAAATGGAATTATATACCTATTACCCCTTTACACCGCAAAATTGTGGCAAAGTTGAAATTATCCGCATAAATACTTTTAATGGTACATCAATGTCGAGAACGATGACATTGTTTCCAAATAAATTGAAAAATTTTTATGGTTGTCCTCTTCGAGTGGCCGTTTGGAATATACCTCCGTTTTTATCGGTAACAACGGATAAGGAGGGAACGCTGCAATTGAATGGTGGCTTTGAGGGGCGTTTATTGAGACTGTTGAGCAAGCGACTTAATTTCAAGGTTGAAATGCAATTATTTAATGAGAGTGGTCGGGGTAAGATATTTCCGAATAGAACCACTACGGGAGTTTTAAAAATGGTGAGTGCAGATTTTACTCTCCTGAACAGATTTTTAGAAGTATATTTGAGGCGTGGATTTTTTTAATATATTATTAAATATTCGTTCCTGTTTTTCTTTCAGTTAAACGATCGCCAATTGGATTTAGCTGTGGGTTCATATCAACACAATGCTGAACGAAATAGGGTGGCCACATCAAGCATCAATTACTATCAATCGATTATATCGGTGGTGATGTTGAGAAGTGCATTACGCATAAGTAAATCAGAGGTCCTAATACACCCCTTTCAAACGAGCACATGGCTGGTCTTATTACTAACTAGTGCAATAGTCGTCTTGGTTGTCTACGCCCTGCGTCATTTACGCCACACACCGCCGGTCCAGCCCGTCACCGATGTCTTCGTCAGTATGTTGGGAATGCCTTTTGTCTATATGCCACCATATAAGGAGATGCGTGTCTTTGCCATGGCATGGATATTCTTTACCATGGTTCTGCGTAGCATCTATTTGGGTTATCTATTTCACATGATACGATCACATCTGCAGATTGCACCACCCGTCGATTTTAATGATTTAGTTAATCGCAATTTCCACATTGTTTTCAGTCAACGTATGAATAACATAATTAAACACACCTCGGAACTGCAAGGTCTTAACTACACCATCCTACCGAATAGGCCCGAAAGTTATACTCTGGAATATTTATTAACATTGCCCAAGGAACATGCCAAGCATACTGTCGGAGTATCGGCTATAGATTATTTGCAATACAATATTCGTGTCATGCGCAAGAGCGAGGTATTTCAAATAATACCCTACGATATTATCGGATTTAAGACATGTATCTATATGGCCAAACATTCGTATTTGAGTAATCAGTTAAACGATTTTCTAATATGGACAACTGATTTCGGCTTAATTGAATATTGGAAAAAATTCCAATTGGATACAGGGTATATAAACATGAAATATCACCGCGAAGATGAATTATTCGATATGTCCGAATTGAGTATGGCATTTTATGCGGTGATTTTGGGTGATGTTGTAGCTATCGTGGTATTTCTTACGGAAGTATTTTATCACAAATATTGGGTGAATAAAAATAATAAATTATAAAAAAAATAAATTATTAACATACATTTTCTGTATGTCAACATATATTGGACATTTATTAAATGTTGAAATTTAAAATACTACAGCTGTTCGATATTTTTCGAATTATAGGCGTGGATTTTTTAAACAGATTTTTGAGAGGTATATTCAAACTATAGGCGTGGATTTTTTAAACAGATTTTTGAGAGGTATATTCAAACTATAGGCGTGGATTTTTTAAACAGATTTTTGAGAGGTATATTCAAACTATAGGCGTGGATTTTTTAAACAGATTTTTGAGAGGTATATTCAAACTATAGGCGTGGATTTTTTAAACAGATTTTTGAGAGGTATATTCAAACTATAGGCGTGGATTTTTTAAACAGATTTTTGAGAGGTATATTCAAACTATAGGCGTGGATTTTTTAAACAGATTTTTGAGAGGTATATTCGAACTATAGGCGTGGATTTTTTAAACAGATTTTTGAGAGGTATATTCAAACTATAGGCGTGGAGTTTTTAAACAGATTTTTGAGAGGTATATTCGAACTATAGGCGTGGATTTTGTAAACAGATTTTTGAGAGGTATATTCAAACTGTTTTAAACAGATTTTTGAGAGGTATATTCAAACTATAGGCGTGGATTTTTTAAACAGATTTTTGAGAGGTATATTCAAACTATAGGCGTGGATTTTTTAAACAGATTTTTGAGAGGTATATTCAAACTATAGGCGTGGATTTTTTAAACAGATTTTTGAGAGGTATATTCAAACTATAGGCGTGGATTTTTTAAACAGATTTTTGAGAGGTATATTCGAACTATAGGCGTGGATTTTTTAAACAGATTTTTGAGAGGTATATTCAAACTTTAGGCGTGGATTTTTTAAACAGATTTTTGAGAGGTATATTCGAACTATAGGCGTGGATTTTTTAAACAGATTTTCGAGAGGTATATTCAACCTATAGGCGTGCATTTTTTAAACAGATTTTTGAGAGGTATATTCAAACTATAGGCGTGGATTTTTTAAACAGATTTTTGAGAGGTATATTCGAACTATAGGCGTGGATTTTTTAAACAGATTTTTGAGAGGTATATTCAAACTATAGGCGTGGATTTTTTAAACAGATTTTTGAGAGGTATATTCAAACTATAGGCTTGGATTTTTTAAACAGATTTTTGAGAGGTATATTCGAACTATAGGCGTGGATTTTTTAAACAGATTTTTGAGAGCTATATTCGAACTATAGGCGTGGATTTTTTAAACAGATTTTTGAGAGGTATATTCCAACTATAGGCTTGGATTTTTTAAACAGATTTTTGAGAGGTATATTCCAACTATAGGCTTGGATTTTTTAAACAGATTTTTGAAAGGTATGTTCCAACTATAGGCGTGAATTTTTAAACAGATTTTTGAAAGGTATATTCCAACTATAGGCGTGGATTTTTTAAACAGATTTTTGATATTCCAACTATAGGCGTGGATTTTTTAAACAGATTTTTGAAAGGTATATTCCAACTATAGGCGTGGATTTTTTAAACAGATTTTTGAAAGGTATATTCCAACTATAGGCGTGGATTTTTTAAAAAGATTTTTGAAAGGTATATTCCAACTATAGGCGTGGATTTTTTAAACAGATTTTTGATATTCCAACTATAGGCGTGGATTTTTTAAACAGATTTTTGATATTCCAACTATAGGCGTGGATTTTTTAAACAGATTTTTGATATTCCAACTATAGGCGTGGATTTTTTAAACAGATTTTTGATATTCCAACTATAGGCGTGGATTTT